TTGTTAGCTCCTTTAGTTTCTAAGCGTATAAGGTATGAAGCGACCGAATTCAAAGGTGGCGAGTATTGAATTGAAGCTCAAGGGGAATGCAGAATTTCGACTGACACAATGCGCCAGAGTGGCAGAACAGAAAATTAGCATTACTTCGATCCAAAGGCTGTCTTAGAAACTACATTTTCACCAAAATATAGCAGTTCCTACTGATTCCGTAAAGAAATATTCGATCAGGATTTGACAGTTTTGCGGGCTCGTCGCGGGAAACTTGGTGCTCGATGGTCTCCTCTAGAGCGATGGTATCAAAAAGATTACAGAACATCTGCATTCCACCGGTGCAACTCGCTTTTCGAGTTAGAGCTCCTGCGATACCCCTGTGCATGGTTGGAAACGCTGCTAATTAATGTCAGTGGCGTTCCTGTAGTCAGTTTCTACCCAGATTGCCTGGATGAGTGTCTGGAGGTGTGGGCACTTTGGACAGATTGGGTTGGGTTGCCGCCAGGTCTGTTTGCCAGCCATTGTGTTGCCTCCGTTTACAGTGAGACTTTCAAACAAGCCGTGTTTGCATGGCAACAAAGCAGCGATTCTCAGCACTGATGTCATGCTGTCAATGATGATGACATGAGAACAGTAGCTTGTATCTGCAACCTTGAAGGAACCTATGGCTCTCTCCAGGCTGAATGTTCCTAATAGATAAGGTTGAACCCATGATTCAAACTTCAGGGTAGTACCCATCTGACAAGTTTCATTTTCACTTCCTCTCGGCTCTCCTCAAATTTCGATTGAGCAGTCATACAGACTTTGTGGTAATTCTCTAGGATCCTTCCGCATGTAGCCCAACAACTCTTTCATCATGCAGATTGTACCGTACTACTTGATGCGACGTTTCAGTAGGCTGTGGTGTTTTCTCCATGCAATATTGAGAACAAATCTTCACGTGTAGTTTATGGATCGGTTCAAATTAACTACCAGTTCTGGTCAAAACCATATGATAAACGTCAATCTTGGTAAGAAAAACGTTGCACTTTTGATTTCGAAACATCGCCGCTATTGGCAGCGTAACCGAAAGTTTGCTATCGATCGAATTAACGAAAAGCTTTTATTCGGATTTCCTACCCGCTTAGCTCAAAACCTACTAATTTAAATGTTTTTTGCATATCAAACCAAAATTTTCCATTAATGCAATAAATTTAGTCTTTCGTTGGCATTTTTAGAACGAAAACTGTGCTGAGTTGAGTGGGATCGAAAAAAGACACAAAGGAAATCGTGTGTTTAACATCTGATACGACTTGGTTTAAAAAAAACTTGGTGTCTGAACAAGCCAATCGAAAAAGCCAATCGAAAAGCGTGTTATAAACCACTGTGAGGCTTCGAAGTTGCACAAACCGAAGAGAACCAGAAGAATTTTACCGAGTGAACACAGAATTTGCTGTATTTGAAAAAAAACTCACAAAGAAGAC